TACTTTTATAAATAAAAAAGTTTGCAATTCGCTTTATAAATGGTCGAGATGCGAAAAGGGCACCTGTGAATTTTGAATCCATTCGACTCAACTTTTGGTATTGCGTATTATATGGCTGAAGCTATGCACATATTGAATTTCATGCAATTCAGTTCATAACAAACGGAGATGTGACAGTGATCGGACATTTCTAAACAAAGTTATCGTTCACACGGACAGACAGACAAAGGAACAGACGGACAGACCAACAGACAGACGACAGACAACAATACAAAATTATAGATCGTTAATAAACGGCAAAAGTGTAAAAGTATGAAACATGTAAAAAACGGTTTTTTTGTTTTTTTACAATAACTTTTTTAGCAATAAACGCGGAAAAAATTCCTTCCTTGATGCAAGCCTCGACACCATAACGAACCAAATAGCGACAAAAGTAGAACAGTATAGCTCTTAAGATAAAGAACTAGTAGCGTCTCAAAGAACGAGCGGACGGACGGACAAAGTGACCACAATAGCGCATTTTTTTATATTTTTGTGGAAATGCGCTACAAAGAAGTAAACTCAAGGAATTGCATTCGAGCGAGTCGCGTAAGAATATTTTTCACAACAAGACATGAACGAATGTTGATTTTGGGAATTTAAAACTCCGTGCATAATTTTCAAATATTGTATATATTATAAAACAACATATCTTTGGTAATAAGTAATAAACGAGATTCCGAAACTGACTAACACCATTGTTTAAATACTTTATAGTTAAACAACCATATGGAAATATTACTTGAACGAAATAAGTAGTTCTGGTCTAGAAAATCCAGTTGGCGCTACTATCGTGGTCTAAATAAGTAGTGACAGTTTACGACGAAAGGTTGCGCTTTATCATTACAGACTTTTTAGTAAGGCCTGCAAAAATCGTCAACAGATGGCTCTCCTTCAATGTAACCCGATCGGCTGCACAGCGTAACTGAGGCGACCTTGAGTAAGAATGCAAGTTGTAACTCTATACGGCTACGATTATACTATATAAACAAAACGCTGATGTTTAGTTCGACAGCAAATTCCTTTTACTTTACTGTGAAGAGAAAGAGTCACATATTTTATTTAATCTTTATTTGAAGCTCTAAAGTAAAGACCGTTTTTTTTCACTGCGCTTATAATAATTAAATTACGTAGGTACCTATGCGTATTACTTGTTTTTACCTATTGTGTGTTTAAGCGAATTCGCATTTATAATAATTTTTGTTCCGGGGTGAGTTGGTTGCGTTCAAACAAGATAAATTACGATAATTAAAATCTGGTAGTAAATTTTGCTTTAAGTTTGTATTAAAAAAAGCATGCGACGGTGCAGTAAATACACTCTGATTTCAAGTCCCTACAATACCATCCCTGTAAAAGGTAAATCGTAACATTTGCCCAATTTTTTTGACGTAATGTGGATTATTCACATTTAACGATCCTCGAGATCGTTTATAATTTTGTATTGCTGTCTGTCTGTCTGTCAGTTCAGTGTGCACGATAACTTTGTTTAAAAACGTCCCATATCCCTTTGAAAATTTTAACACAAATCAGAAAGGTCGTTATTGTTTTTCAGCTACGTAGAGGTAGACTATCGAGCCAAAAACAATTTCGAAGCTCGTTCGGTATTCATTTGTATGGGAGTTTACCCAGAATGTATGGATTTTATTATAAGTCTTTAAACAATGCTATTATTAGAAGTCGAAAAAAAGCTGAATTCAATTGAAATGTATTTCGTTACCTTTATACCTATTATTATTTGTTCAACACTCTAAATTACACTAATTTTTAAGGATCTTCAGAGCCTTTATAGTTTTGTATTGTCCGTTCGTCCGTGTGCACTATAACTCTTTTTAAAAGTGACCGATCATGTTGAAATGGCGTACGAGTAGATACTTATTGGACATTAAGGTCGTATCGAGGGTCGGACGCTATTGATTTTCAGGAAGCTGGCTCAACAGGAACAAAAGTTATAGCACTTCGAGTGAAACGGGAACAGGAAACACTGTGGGCTCAGTATAATAGAAATCAACATATTTTCATTGCCTAGGTCATGTATCGAGTTCGGACTGTCGCTACATTATTCCCTGACACTTAGATGTGTAACAATTCAATATTCTTCTCTGTGGTCTAGGTCAAAAGTTTTAGAGCAAAATGTACCCAAAATTAGTCTTCACACATGAATTTAGAGTTGTAAAAGCTTTCAATGCCGGAAACATGAATTTGATGTATTTTTATTGACCATATGTATTCTGATCAAATCATGTCAAAATCGTTATCATGCACCAAGATCGTTGGGAAATAGACCAAGAGCATTATTATGATGCTCTAGATTCGAATTTATTTATTAGTATTTTGCAAGGGTGAAATAAATGGACGTTAAAAACGTGGTGGACCGAGTTAAGGATCCTTCAATATTTAGCACTAATCCTTGAAATCGATTGGTGAAGGATTAACGTCGCTGTTTCTTTTCGTTTTCAAGTTTAGACGAGGAACAGATGGATATACGAACGAACAGACGGGCGGACAAAACCATCACATTTCATCACACATCACACAGCAATTTCTTTTGAAAAATTCCTTTAAAAGGAAACCGCGCGTATATATGCGTTAGGTCCACTTGTACGTTTTGCCATCATTTTCTGGAATATAATTACCTACCAGTGGTTAGAAAAACAGTTGTGACATGGCTATTAGAGTAAACAACATGCAAAAACCATCAAGTACGTGGAAGTAGAGGTCAACCAGGCCCTATTTTTTGTCATTCAGATATTTTCAAAGAGTAATTTCGTTCGAATTTTTTCAAAATGTGATAATTTTAGATATGTAATTTCTCTGGAAATGGCTGATGGTGGCAATTATTCATTTTAGAGAACTTGTCTAAACGTTTACTGAGCGAAATTTCGGGTTGTGTTTTCTAAAAGTGACAGTTCTCATTATTGACTACTAGTTAGGTAATAATGTCCACATTATTAACCACTTTGAACAACTGCCGAGAAAGCCTACTTTACAAGTGGAAAAAAGGTTCACAATCATGTCATCAGACGCTAGTAGTGAAAAAAATCAATTTACTGGTAGTGAAATCATTTATCAGAAATGAAAAAAATTGCATCGTTTTTCTGTGAATACGAGATTATCAAAGAAACAATGCTTGTTTTGTCTTACAAATTTGTTGCATTTATACAGAAAAATTGCACATAGGTTCCTTCTGTACAAATAGTAATTTAGAGACATTTCCAATGTCCATCGTCACTGCAGTCCGCACTTTGTCCGCGTAAAATAGCTTCGGCACCAATGAATCATGAATCCCGTCGCACCTGGCATCACTTTGCAGTAGCTGTAGGAAAATGGCGAGGGCTGTTTTTCTTAAGTGATAATCTTTTTTGTAACTTGCATACAAACAAATAGTTATGCTCTCATCATGCACGGTTAATAAGTAAGTAACTGTAATTTCATTTTTGCATGCAACGGCAACTAATACAAAAGAATGCAAGTAGGTACATAATCACTAAAATTTCTACCAAAATGATGATGGTTTAAATTCAAAGATATTTTGAAAAAAAAAGAATTAGCTAAGTAAACTTGGCAAAATGGAACTTTATTACTGAAACGGCAAACGTATGCAGTCTTTTATTAAAGGGATAATCGTCTCGTGGCATATAATGTAAGATAGCTGTAACTTGATATACCATCATTCTAAACAATGACACCTTATATATCTGCTTATCAACACCGACATTCCTCTAATGTTTTTATACTTTATCCTTGTTTATAAAGGAATGCGTAGTCAAGTTGTGATCCTCAACTTTTTTAACGTACTTTTGTTTGTTATTAATAGAGTACACCACTTGCCGGATGCAAAATGCGGAAGGTACAGCTGTATCAAAAGAAATATAACGGCAAGTATTTTTACATTGGATCTGTTCAACTATAAAGTATTTAAACAATGCTATTACTTAATATAATGACAAGATTATTACCTTAAAAAATAAGAATGAATATGAAATACAAAAATTCACAGATTTCGCAATTTATACAACTATCGGCGAGAATGGAAATAATAACAGTATAACGCCACAATATGCAAAACAAAAATACGTCTTATTCATTGGGTCGACCTTCTGAACAATAAATGTGTAAACAAATATAGCAAACGAGCTTCTGAGTATGGCTATAGCATGCCCAAAACCAAATGGCGTTTGATTTGCTTTTATTCCAAGTGCCTATGTATCAAATTTCATTTAAATGCTTTCGTAAATAAATTGGCACTGAGCATGCTCAAATCAAATTTTGAAACTGTGGCTGTCGCATATCAAATTTGCTCTGACTTCACCACCCAAGCCTTTTAACATTCGAGAGTTTCATATAAACGTTACATAGGTACAAACTTCGAAACTAAGTTTCGTATGAGTGTTTTCAACACTAAAAACACAGTAGCATTTGTAACGATGCACCTCTTAAAATGCAACTTAGTATAAATTATTTCAGTTTCTTGAATGTCGTTACTTAATTTAGTTTGTCCCTTGTTAAGGTGTAAAGATAATTTTCAAATGCAAAACAATTAATTTTCTAAGGAACCCAAATGTTTGGTTTCAAGGGCCAAATGAATCAGCTGATGCACATTAAACACAGCAATATCTTTACGATACAAATTTACCGTGTCTTTCACAAAGACCCGCAATAATTCATTAGCATACCGATTATAGTTTGGGTAAAATTTCGTTTACAAAATCAAGAAAAATTTCTTTACTGTAAACTAAAATGGAATTTGAAAATTGTTCCAGTGGATTCCCGAGGTTGAAGTAATGTAGGACTGTCTAAATCACAAAAACGAATTTTTTTCTGCTTGCGCAAACGATTCGGGGACATACTGTATATGTTTAATTAGTGATTCTGTACACATCTCAAATCCTTACTTCTGTTGCTGTTGCAGCTTTGTTTTAAAAAATTGTGTTGATATATATCGTCATTTACTTTTAGGGCGGAATCTACATGTTTCATCTGTTCGACACTTACGCTGCGGGACTCTCGCTGTTAACTTCGGCCCTATTCGAAGCTATTGCTGTGTCCTGGTTCTACGGTAAGAGTTCACCAACCGAACTGTAACGGTTCTCTAACATTCTTAATCGTAGGCCTCAACAAGTTCACCCAAGACGTTGACGCGATGCTGGGTATTAAACCGGGACTGTACTGGAGGATCTGTTGGAAATTTGTCAGCCCATCGTTCCTCATTGTGAGCAATTTATTTCATTGTAAGCCAAATCTAAGTGCCGTTTCTAGGGAGTTATATTATTTGGACTTATCTTTCCCGTTCCGCTCAAGTACGAAGATTACGACTACCCCATCTGGGCGGAATCGATTGGTTGGTGTTTGGCACTTGCTTCGATATTAATGATACCGTTAAATGCCATATGGCAGTTACTTAAAGCTCCGGGAACCTTCAAAGAGGTAAACTTGTGATATTTACGCTTTTAGGTAATTGTGTGCGGTTACAGAAACTGGCGATATGTATCACCCCAGTGGACGAACACGAGTACCTTCGGGAGACGAAGCTTGTTAGTAGATTTAAGGCAAGACATTGGCTTTACGTGTAAGCTTTTACTGCAATACTTGTCGATTGTTTAACAATAAGGTACACATTTTGTGCCGCCGACTGACAATAGCCGCACTATGCACGTGGGAATATTTCTATAAAATGGAGATAGTATCCTTGTAGGATATTTTTACTAACTAGCTACGTAGTAAATGTGCAAAACTATAGGTACTTAATTATAAGGGCTGTTTCCTAAGTTGTTAGTCTGAGTCCCTTACGCAATCTAATCAGGCACTCTGATTAATATAAAACAGATAGGTTATATATATATATATATATATTCTTTGACCAAAGTTTAACATAGACAAAATAAGTGATCAAAATATAAATGTACGTAATCGTAAATAAGACAAGATGTTTATTAGAAATAATTCTAAAACGCTGTAGGTTGCTTAGAGTGTATGTTCGGCAATAGCTAAAGTACTTATACTGATATAGAATTTCAGCATTGATTAACCATGCGTCTACTACCATGATATCTTTCACATTTTGATAGAATGTAAAAAGTACATATTTGTAAACGTTTACAAACAATTTTTGATATATAACGCTAACATGTACAGTCCAGGTAACCATTCCATACGAGTGATTTACTTCTCTTCAGTTCCTACAATTACTTAACAATAATTAAAAAAAATACTCTTAATCTATATTGCACTTATAACCATACCAAACTCGTAAGTTAAGTATTGAAGTATGTTATTGATGTTTCCGTAAATTGTGTAAATAGTGTAATTGCCGATGAAGAAATTGGGCAACGAATTGGACCGGCCTCTTGTAAATTATATTCTGATACCACCACTTCTTAAGGCCGCGCCATGATTGCCAAAGTTGACACGTCGAAACTAGATGGCTCAGTCTTGGATCGCTCAGAGAAAACTTGCAACATTTTTATTTAGCGAATCTGTGCTAAAGAAATGTATAGCTTATAAGTATGAAGGACTATTTAATGTTAATTAACGCTTTAAGGGAATGTGGATCATTCTTTGAGAAAAAAACTGTATTCATTTTAAATAGTAAATCTTTGTAATTTTTATTATTAGTGCTAATGTGTTGTTCCACAATAACCAACACTATTGGTTGGTATAAGTTATAGTGCTGATAAAAAGAATAAATCATAAATTAGGGAACAATATAATATCTTTGGCTGGTCCAAAGAATTGCAAATGTTGATATAAATAGTGGATTAGATTATATATTCTATTAGCATGTTATCGTCAAGAATTTGTAATAAGACGGCCGCTATAAAGTTGCAAACAAAAGCCTTCTTTGTTGGTTACTTTATTGTCGCAAAAGTAAATAATGTTGTAGAGGAAAATGTAGAAACCAGAAATTGTTAAGTGTCTTTAAGTAATGATGCCAGGTGCTTTAAAATATACTGTAACAGCTACTTTTGTGTTCTTATTGCCTGAACTGTGCCTTCTCATCCGATTTAATACACACCTTTGTTCGCTAATAACCAATCCTACTCCAGCAAACTGGTCGAAATGAATTAAAGGAAGAACAATGAACGGTCGCACATCTACACGCTACGTTTTTTTCCGAGCTCAACTAGTGTCTGTCTGTATGTCTTTTGTGTGGTCCTATTTTTTCCAATGTATATAAACATTACCTACAAGCATAGTATAATACAGTTATATTATGCTACAAGCTTATCAATTTAACTAATTTGGATTGTTTCTTTTTTCCACAGAAGCGGAAATTTTGAAATGCTACACCCTGTCCTAGGAGTTGTTTTTTTATTGATTCTCCTTTCTATATTGTTTGTCTCGTCCACTCCACTCCGGCATAATTGACACAATACATCCGCTTCATTCAAGTTTTCGGAACAATTTCCTTTTTGAGAAAACTGTCAAGAAAGAACAACTACTAACAGTGTAGTTTTTCTTTCAGCACAAATGTTACGTGGGCAGAAAATCCTGGAATTTACACTTTCAAGTAGTTCTAATGGTGAAACCAATACCAATTTTGGTCCTCAAGAAGACGAAGACTATGACGTCGATGAAACTAAGACCAATCTTGTTCTACAAGAATTGAAAGACAATCACGTGGAGTCTTCTCTACAACATTTTGCACATACAGACGATTTTGAGGACACGACAGATGAAGTTTTGATGCAAGGAATAGAGGACACTTTAACAGTTGGAAATAACGCCACAACTGAAAATGGATTACAAACTCAAAAGAGATCGTTAAATACAAAAGATAAAGAAAAAACTGGGATCAACTAAGAAACAAGAAAATGCGAGAAAAAGGCATAGAATACAAAGGCAAAAAGAAAGACAATTCTGGCAAATGGAACTATGACGTGGAGAGAACAGCTAGATTCGTAAAAGATCCATGTAATTGCAAATTAAGCAATACGAAATCAAAGCTAAAATGCAAGTTTCTTGGCACAGAAATAAGGCAGAAGGTTTTTGATAAATTCTGGAACAAAATGTCTTGGGAAGAAAAGAATATGTATGTTAGAGGGCTAGTCAAAGTTAGTACTGTACACAGAAGAAGGGGCAATCACGAAAAGTCCAGAAGGAATTACTCTCTGGCTTATTTTCTTAAGCATGGAATCCGGCTGGTTAAAGTATGCAAGAAAATGTTTGCTGGTACATTAGGATTAAAAGAGCGAAATATTATAAACTGGGTAAAAGAGGACATAGAAGAAGAAACAGTTAAAAATATTGGTGAACCGATAAATAGAAAAAGTGAAGCCAGGAATGAGAAGTTTGAAAAAGAAATAAAAGCACTCGAAGAATTTTTCAATGCCCTTCCTAAAATGGAAAGTGATTATTGTCGAGCCTCTACCAATAGGTTATACTTAGAACCAATTTGGAGATCGAAAAGTCATCTGTACCAGTTTTATAAAAATCATCATTGTTTGGAAAAAGGCATTGAACCTGTGTCCGATGCAAAGTTTTATGCAACCATGCAGGAACTAAAAATATCAGTATTTCGACCAAAAAAGACGAGTACGACGTCTGCGTTGGATATCGCACTCAGAATATTGATGAAGAAAAATACTTAGAACATCAAATGCTCAAAGAAGAAGCCCGGTCCGAAAAAGAAAAGGATAAGGTAGCAGCAGATTCTATAACCTTCACTATGGATCTTCAATCAGTTTTGTTAAGTCCAAAGACAAACGTTTCCGCCATGTACTATAAGACAAAACTTATTGTACACAATTTTACCATTTACGATCTTCAAACCAAGAAAGGTTATTGTTTACTTTGGAATGAAAGTGAAGGGCAAACAACTGCGCAGGAATTTACATCGCTCCTAATTTATTTTCTATAAGAGAAGGTGATTCCAAATGTTAAGCAATCTGGGCAAAAGATCATTCTTTATAACGACGGATGTACCGGGCAAAATAGAAATAGTATTCTTTCTAATGCACTTTTTCACTTTGCTAGCATCAACGAAGTCACCATAATCCAAAAGTATCTCCAGGAGGGACATACCTAACTGGAGGCAGATTCGATGCACTCCTGTATTGAACGCGTTTTACGAAGAACAAAGATATGTTTGCCAGCGGATTATATTGCAATATGCAGGAATGCTAGGCGGCTACCATTTCCTTATAAGGTAGAATATTTTACCCATGCATTTTTAGAAACTTTTCTTCTCTGCAATATTTTAATTCTATTAGCCCAGGAAGAGCAGTGGGAGCAGAGATGTAATGGATTTAAAAGCCCTTAAATATGAGAATGCTACTTTAACTTGTAAACTTCGTCATTCGTCTAATAGTTGGAATGAACTACCTACCACGTAGAATAAACAATACAATTAAACATGACCTAAAATCTTACAAAAACTTGCCCCCAATGTATACGTCCATCCCATTAAAAATGACCTCAAAACAAAGTATTTTGTTTATTAATTGTAGCACAATTTTATTTATCTACGACCATTAAATTATGCGCTTATAATATGCCTCTATTTCTATAAATAATGCTAGCCATAATTAATTGCTATGCAGTTATGGAATCAAACTTGGGCTATGATTGGTTGCAATCCATTGAATAATATTCATAACTCAATGGTTCCAAAATAGCGCGCTCCTTGAAAACAAAACATGAAAATGTTAATTATCGTGACAATCATTCTCGCTAGTATTTTTCCGTTAGCTTATTCATAAGTTAGGAATGGACCTCGATAGTGAGAACGAAAATAATGAACTCGTGGCCGTGGGTACACCTCCTGAGGTTATGCACCAGGCAGAAGTGTGTTCAAATTTATTGCCTGAAAAGTCTCGAACGAAGTACGAACACGTATATGGAAAGTTTATGGAATGGAGACGTCAAAAAAAGGTATCCTCTTTATCTGAAAATGTTCTTCTTGTATACTTCTAAGAGTTATCTAAAAAGTATTCTTCCTCTTCACTGTGGACATTCTATTCGATGTTACGAACTACATTAAATCTTGATGATGGAGTGGAAATTGATAAATATCCCAAACTACGTACTTTCCTTAAACGTAAATCAGATGGACATCTTAAGAAGAAATCTAAAATCTTCAGCCCCGAGGAGATAAATGCATTTTTTAATAATGCACCTGACGAAGTATATCTTGCAACAATGGTTTCTGACGTTTCTTAGTACGGTTCTTAGATTAATCTTTCGTATTTTTAGGTTGCCTTGATAATGGGTTTAATGGGGGCATGTCGAGCCTGTGAGTTAAGTGACATGAAAGTCGAGGATATTAAAGATTTTGAAGGGGGAGTTATTATCACAATACCTAAAACTAAAATTGTCCGCACGTTTACAGTTACGGGTCAATTCTTTGATATATACAAGAAATATGCGAAATTGCGCCCACCCACCGTTCAATCCCCCTTCTTTTTTTTAAATTTCCGAAAGGGAAAATGCACAAGCCAAAAAACCTTTTTGAGACTTACGAACACGGATTTATACACCGGTCACTGTTTCTGAAGAACATCCGCAACAATCCTAATTGATGCTGGTGGAGACATCATGGCTTTGAAACGACACGTTGGCTGGAAATCGACAGCCGTAGCCGAAGGATACGTTGATACTTCCTTGACAAATAAGTTGGATACCGCTACAAAAATTTCAAGCTCTGTGATTTCTACTTCCAATATCGCTCCACAACCTGCAGCATCATCATCAAGACATCTTGTAGTACTAACGTATTAAATGCAAATGCACATTTTGAGACCCATGCTCAAACCAACTTGCAACCAAATTCTATAACATTTGTTAATTACGATACCATGACAGTTAATTTTTCAAGATCTATTACAGAACTTACTCCGCCATAATTCGACGTTAAATAAGAAATCTTTCCTTTATAGAATTAAATCCTGCTTACTTTGTTTTCATTTCAGTTATTTTTGCGAGTATTTATTGTAATGTAAATGCTAATAAAATATTAATCTAATTGAAGTAACAGTCGTAGATAAAGTATAGTATTACACTCGCATGTTATGGCTCTTATTCACTCGGTTTACTTGCTCCACTCGCTCGCAAGCTCGCTCGCGTCGCAAACGTCAACCTCGTGAATAATAAGCATCATAACATGCTCGTATAATAATATACTATTAATATACTTAAACGCCTATCTCCATCTAATTCACAAATTTGTTTAGTAAAATTGCCTATCTCCCCTTAAATTATCAAAAGCAATAATAAACTAAAAGCTTCTTCAAATTTAAACGTATTTAAATTTTACAAACATGAAAAATAAAATTTGAAACGTTTCTGGGAAGTTTTACAATTAATAAAGCGTTTTTTCCTTCCCCTGTAAAATTTCCCAAAATGGAGTTAGGCAATTTTCTTATTAAGGCGACGATATTGCACAATTATCGCTCAAGTTCATTTTGAATGTATAACTCAATGAAGATCGTTTGTGACTTAAAAGCTTGAAACAAACTGCTGCTAAGGGAAAAGAGCCGTTGCTATAAAAAGCAACAATTGAGTCATATACAACACACTTGATCTTTTCTTATTTTTTCGCAAATATGTAAACTATAAATGACGTTCTTTAAAATTCAAATGATACTTTTTAAAATAGAAATGGGCAATTTTAAACTATAATTAATTTTTCATAATCTAATAAAAAATGTATAATTTCACATTTCAACTGAGTAGTACAGAAAGCGGCCATCACTTTGATGTGGACGATCACTGGCAAGATGTAAATCTGTCATGACTGGGCCAACTGATGACCAGACGGACATTTGTGCGTTGGCCCAATGTTGTTTGCCATTGCTGGTCCATTAAATTTGTTGCATGGAGTAGGTACGTTACATTGCCAGCAATGGTCCTTAAATAAATGTTTGCTGGGATTGTAACAAGTGTGGATAAGGCCTCCTGGTAGTACAACTGATTGTGGACTATAAGGGGAGGCTCGAGGGGAGGTACATTTTCT